CAACCCATTCGGAGCAGCTAAAACCCAAATGCCCTTTCGCCTCGTCGAGGGGATTCGGAAAACTTTCACAATAAATAAAGTTGTTTTGCCAGCGGGAACCAGCGGAGGTTTACTTGAAAATAAGTGGAGGAAGGCAATGCCGCTTCATCTCCCTGTAAGCATCCAGCCAGCCACCCCACTTCCTCCTTTCGTTTAAGTGTTTAAAGTTCATTGGAAAAAATAGACAAAGGAGGATTTCGTTTTAAAAGAAATGGTAGCGTCTAAGGAACGGGATGTACCATTTGAAAAAAGTACACATATTTGGGTCGAAAAGCAAAGGCTCTGCCAAAACATTGCTTAATTTTCATTTAATTCTAGTATCATAGTTTTGTGAACGTTGCTTTTGCTTTGAGAGGGGTGGGAAAAGATAAGTATTTTCTCTTGAATTGGTGACTTCTGGTGGTTTGGAATTCCTAAATGCCGCGCTCAGAGATTCATTCTGTTAACAAGGAGCAGCCCGATTTCTTTGGTGTATTTTCTTCCTGAAAAGGGATCACAAAAGTCTCGTCCCACCGAAGACCCTATAATATATAGACTCTTCTCACGCGAACGTGAAATATTTAAAGACATTAAAAAATCAGTTTAAAAAGAGATGGGAGGGACAACTGATAGTATTTATTTATTTATTTATGAAATTAGATTTGTTTAGAGTTTGAGGAATCAGCAAAGGTATCTTTGTATCCATTTCGCATAAGTTTGTTTAACAATTAAGTAATTTTAACAAGTGTGGAATTAATCGATTCGGTGTCTTTTCACAATCCTATTGTGAAATAGACAATCCTATTTTAAATAGGAAGGAAGAGTGTTGGTGGCTAAATCGCCCTGGATTTTTCAAAGGCTGGGTTTGGGATTTTCACTTCAAACATTGCTTGTCCAAAATTTCTGCTTTGTCCTAACGGAAATTATTTAGAGCTAGTATACTGAAACACACAAGGACTGCAATGTGATCTTGCCTGGTTAAAAACACAACTGGGCAAAATCCAGGAGAGGTCTTCTGCAAGACCAGGCGAGGTTCAGTAGTAGAGCATCTCCCGCAAGTCACTGGCTTTTGGGGATGGCCTCAATCACCAACCGTTTTTGAAATGGGAATTAAAATCCTCGGCTGGCCCGATCGCTGGTGAATAGAATTACACCGAGGGCAGGAACGGGCCAAGCGGAACCTCTTGAGAGCGTCGTTGGTTTCGATGGGAGAAGTAGAGCTTCTTAGACATCTCCTCTGAGATTAACTGCACTTGCAATCTGAAAGCTGCAGCCTCTTAGGCGGGACTAAATCCTCGGGAGCCTCGGGGCTTTACTCCGGAGTATTCAAGCTTAAATTTGCTGAACTACGCTTGGATTGTCCCCACAATGTATTAATTCTTAAGAAGGTGCGAGAAGCCCCTTTGCTGCTTTCCTGGGCCTCCCCAGACCGATCAGTAGAAAAGTCGGCGGGAGATCCGAAATCAACAGGCTGAGTTTCCCTCCGCCCCTCCCCATCCCGCGCTGCTCCCGATCTCGCGAAGACGCGGCGGGAAAGGAGTTGCATAAAGTTAGCTTTGACTATTCGGTTGGTCTCTTGAAGTTTTCTGCTTGCCAGTTTTTGTAAGAATATCGGTGTAGCATTATTTTAAATAGGTAAAACAACCCGAAGTAAAGCGTTGCCTTCTCCTTGCCCGAGGGAAGGTGAGGAGACTGGCAAGGCGACGGGCAAGATTTGCGAGATCTTTGCCTTTAATGCAGACTAGAGCGCTTCAGAGCCTGCCAACCGCTCCATCCAAGTTTCGGGGCTCAAGAGGAGTCGTGGCGTCGCGGGGGAAGAAAAGAGGCTCATCCATCCACGCAGATTCTGCTTGTTCGAGGCACTGATCTCTCTCCCCCGTTCGTTTGCCTTGGCTTGAAGCAGGCGCCATCTTCAGCCTACCTTTGCGGAAAATCTGAAAGACCTAAATTGTGATACTGATGGCGACAGTAAAACTAACTAGGGGTAGTATTGATAGTACTACTGATGGTAGGTGCTTGAAGTCTGCATTTCAGGAACTAGCATGGGCAAACGACCATGTGCTTAGAAATTCAAATCAAGGAGAGAAAATGAAGTGGCTGGCCGTAAAATCGTGCCTTTGACTTGAGGGCACTTTTCCCCTGGGAAAAGTTCATGAATACTTTTGTCTTTACTCGGCAAAAATGCCCGTCTTCCTTCATAAGGGATGGAGCAGGAAAACGAGAAGGAAATAGGGATCCTGTCAACAGTCGGCAGAATTCAGTCTGTTCACTACTTAGTACATCAGCAAGTTACGAGTGCCTTCTAAATTCCACTGTTCTATTTCGCAAAGTTAAGCAAGGCCAGAACAATGAAAGGGAAATTGTGTTTGCGTCTCTCTCTCTGTGTGTGTATTTGCAAGCCTAAAATAAACCTTCCAGGTCTCTTTCACCACGAAGATTTCGAGACCTTCCCAAATGCGAGATAGTTTTTTCTTTCTTTGCTTTCTCTTTCCACAAATCGTGGAAGTTACTCAGTTGAAGAAGCCCTCCCCTTCTCTCCTGACACATCCACTCCTTAATGTTTTCCCTATAGAAGGCAAGAGCCGATCCCCAGGATCTTTCCTGGGAAAATAAGTTCCACTAAAATCAACGTGGCTTACTTCCCAGGAAGCGCGCGGAAGATTGAGGCTCTCCTGTTCGAATCGCCTTTCCCGGCCTCTGCAATCCGGAGGCGCAAAAGACCTTTCTAAACGCGCATTCTCATGAGACGGAGAGGGAGGGCTGTTGCGGCGAGCGAAGCCGAGCATATTTCCACCACCACCACCACCACCACCTATGAGTCACCTGCCTCGATTAGCATAGTGTCCACGTGATGACTTCACGCTCTCTTCAGCTAGCGGCGGTGCGCCTTTTTGGAGTGAGCGAGAACGCCGGCAGTGGCGGGCACCGACGGATGCATTAGGCACCTCCTTGTTCCGCCTGTCGGCCCCATTGCAAAATGCTATGCCACCCGCCATCAGTGGGGATTCTTCCGTTCTCTGCCTGTAATCCTTGCGCCTCAGCCTTCCACCTCAAGTTGCCTGTCCCTCTGATGGGACAGAGCGAGCAGAGCAGCGCTTTGCTCCGCCATCCAGAGGAGCTAAGCAAGGCGCAAGGGTTGCTATTAGCCTCGCCACCACCCGCTGGAAATTCTCCTTGGCCCCAGTTTTTTTGCTCCGCGCTTGCCTTAGGGCCATGTGCAGTGACACTGGGATGCGAGGAAGAGCCCACCGAATTTCGTTTGAAATGGCTGAAGAGCAAAGGAGGAGCGGAGGAGAGGCTTCGTCTCCCCGGGGTCCAGCGCGCGCCCCCTTTTCCCGGCCTCTCTTGCGCTGCGAAGGGAGTTTCTCTCCATTGTTCGCTGGGAGGGGGCTCGAACGGAATCTGCGCGGAGAAGCCCCCGCCCCCAGATAGGGGCAGGCTCAGAGAAAAAACGGGGTGCCTCATTAAACCAAAAATAAGCCAGATTATCCGGGGTCGCAGAAGTATTCCCGCTCCAGCCACCTCCCGTCCCTTTCTTCGCGAAGGTGCCAAATGGGGGATCAGGCGGCAGTGTCAGCGGCGAGTCAAAGCGGGGCCGGCCTAGCTTTACGGAGGAGGCGGATGGCGCCGGAGGAAGGGGCTGACTCGTCTCTCTTGCGCCTGGTTTGGTTTGGCTCAAACTTTCTGACAGGCGACCTAATTATGAAATCCCACCCTCCTGCTCACATCACCCCAAAGGGGGAAGGGGGAGAAACGCAAACCGCAAGTGAAGTTTGGGTGCCTGTCTTTTATTGTTTCAGGAGTGCACAAGGCAAAACCGGAGTGGGGGTGGGGAAACCTCCTTTTCTCCGACTCCTGCAGATCCTCACGGTCCTCCCGCTGATATTCAGGGAAGCGGCAGCCGGATCTTCGGCGCCCTTTCCCGCTTTCTATTGCGCCTTCCCCCTTTCAATTCGATTTTCCCCGGTTCTCTCTCTCTCCCCCCCCCTTTTAATAGACCCTATCCAATGGACGCCTCCGGTCTACGAACACTCCATATGCAGCCACTTCCCAAGACCCGTATTCCAGCCCACCCCCTCGTCTGCACAAGGCAGGCGCCGCTTCCACCGAATTTCGAAGGCGGCACGAACAGGATTAGCAAACTCCATCAGAGCGCAGAGCACGGTTCATGCCCGCCCTTCTCAGCCCGCCACGCCACCACAGGCCAGCGTTGGGCACTCCGAAACCGACCCGATATTATGGATCGGCCGTGAGGAAAAGAGGGTCGAGGGTAGAAGCGAATGCGAATGAAATAGCGTAGCGCAGGCCCCAAAGGATAGGAAACTAGGGAGCCCCCAAACTCCCAACAAGGCTCGATTTCCACATCCCCCCCACCTCCAGCTTGCCTCTCTCTCTCTCTCTCTCTCTCCCCCCTCCTCCCTCGCTCTGCCCCCTCCCCTCCGCTAAAGTGCACTGCTCCAGTTTGGAAGTGTTGCAAATCCGGCGGCACAGAAGGTGGCATTTCTCCAGTCTTGGGAGGCCAATCTCCTTCCAAATCAAGCAGCCGCTCCAGTAAAACACGATCCAAGCGGGGAGGGAAGCTCGGCAAGCCTAGACACGGCCAGCTCGGTGCCGCGGTGCCTGCCTTCCCGCCTGCCCCTTCAGCGCCGGGCGAAGTTCTGGGGTCTTTGGGGGTCGCGCTTTGCCCAAGTTGCTCCCGCTTGCACCTCCACGGATTCTGCCGCCTCCTCCCTTCCGTTCCCTCTTCGGTGTCGGGCCTTTGCGGAGCTCCACGTGGTGCCTCTTTCGCCGCTGTCTCATCCGCCTCCTCCTGCTCCATTGCTGCCGCAGCAAGAAGCTGAAGGGTTTGCGGAGAGAGGATTTCGCTGTCCTCCACCCCCGGCGGTGCTTTGCTTTTCGCTTTTATTATTTTTATTTTTTCACCCCGAGGGGAAAAATACATATGTACGTGTGTGTATATATGGGATTCTGACGATAGCCCAAAATCTCTTCACCGTCACGGTACGTGCCGTGGAAATCAATAATTTCCTCTCTTATTAATACTTTCCCTCCAAAGCAGCAACGGACAATCACGCCTTTGTGCTCGGCCCGCCAGAGCTGCCGCCGCCGCCGCCTCCTACTCCAGCGCGGTTTCGACTTTGAAAAGTAATAAGCAAAACGAGAAGCTCATTCGGGGTAGCCTCTAAGATGAGGGCGTGGGCTTTAATTAATGTCTTATTTGTGGTGGTGACAGAGGAGGAGGAGGAGGAGGAGGTAGTCGTGGAAAGGTGCGAGAGTCGCGCGGCCGGGTCGGGCGCTGCTCTGCCATCGAGCGGGAAAAGGGAATAGGTTGGCTCCCGGAGAGCCCCCGCTTCGCACAGCCACGATTCCGACCGGCGTCAGGCACACCAGCGGGCTAAGCGTAAAGGTTTTGCCACCCCACATGCCCCTCGCCCGCCAGAGACCGGATCCGTTTAAGCACTCCTTAGGGGTCCTGCCTGCTTTGCCCTTCCCCATTTCCCCTTCCGACTTCTTCCTCAATCTGACTTTGAGAATGCGCTTTCTGTTATCTCGCCCCCCCCCCCCCCCCCCCGGAACATGTCGCTTTGGTTCAGGGTTCCGCGGCAGCTGAACCCCAACTTTGCGAAACGAATCCGTTCCTCAGTGTTCCTAGAAGTTTCTTTACTCAGAGTAGAGGCTGCCCGGGATTTAGGCTGGGCGTGGGGGAGGCATCGATTCTCCCGTTAGTATTTATTGTATATGCAACACCACACAGCAATTGAAAAACCAAACTCCCTGCAATGGCTCCCCTACAACGCTGTAGGATTTCTGAGCCACTAACAATAGATTTAAGTGAGGCAGAGGCGACCATTAACTTTCTTGAACAGGCGCCGCTTTGGAAGTGGGCACAGCAGCGGCCAGATCTTGCGATCTTGGTCCGGCTTTGCCAGAAAACGAGGCAGCCTCAGGAACGGGGCGATAGTCAATGCCGGAACTGTCTCCTCTGGCGAATCGAAGGTTTGACTTCTTATCATTTGCGCGACTCTTTGCGCCGAATGAAAAGTAAAGAGGTCTTTAAATAAAATGGAAGCGGAGTGGGCGGGGAGAGAAAACAGACGGGCGTTTGTTTGCGCTCTGCACCTTGGAGCTTTTAAGGCGAAAATGTGTGTGTGTGTGTGTGTGTGTGTGTTTTGTATTTAACGAGATCCGCCAAGGCTCGAGGCATCTCGAAAAAAGGAAGGGGTTCCCTAATGAGACGCACTACAGGCTGGGAGAATTTCTTGCGCTCCAAGCGATGAATGGAAAGCCGAAAGCGCCAACGCTGGTGCTGGAGAACCGAGTGCCACACTTCTCATTACGAAGAGGCTTTTCTTGGTTCTCCAGACGGCGGCTGGCTCCTTTTAATCTGCAAAAGACAACCTGAGAGCTGTTTTGGTTGTGGCTGGTTTTGAGGGGAGCTTGAGAAAGGTGCGTCTTAAAGCCGCCTTGTGGGGATCTTTTTGTAGCTTCTTTTACCATAACGATTCTATTCCATCCAAAGACGCGAGCTGGGGAAAGAGGTGGCTCCATACTGGCTCTGCTTCCTGGGGAAAAGAGAGGGCCGCGAGCACAGCTGAATTAACATCTTCCTTATTCCCTCTTTGAAAGCGGAAAAGTCAATTGCGCTTCTCCCGGATTCTGACTGAGTCAGGCTGCTACAGGCCGGCTCGTGGGGAGAGAGGTTGCGCCTGCAAAAGGCTGGGTGGAGGGATATTTCATGGACGTCGACAAGAATGCTTCTGGGTATTTTGTGGTATTCTGGGTCAATTAAAAGCAGGCAAAACATTCCCCCAAATGAAAAACACCAGCCTATCTTCTGCTAAAGGTCTCTTTCTCCTTTGCTGCCCCACTCCATGAAGTCTCTGGGACAGGCAAGCTGGAGGGAGCAGCTTTTGCCCAGGAGCTCAGGCCTACAAACAGAGAAGGCAAGAACATTGGTCAGCTTGTGTACTGGGACTCATTGTGTTGAAATTCAGATTTCAAAATAGATTTGTTTGCCTTTCTCGTCTTATTTCAGAGAAAATGTCCTCTCTGGCTTGTACTGTCCAGGAAGTCACTTTCATGGGATGAAGAACAATGGGGGCCATGCTCTAAATGGTGGCTTTCCGTTCTGTGAAAAAATGACACAGGCAGGATGAGCTCACCTTCACCTTAAAAATGGAAAGCATGTGGCAATGAGGAAGCCATAGCCTTTTCCACTATGCATAGTTAGCATTTTTGGTAGTGGATTAAAAGATTATACAGGAGGAAACTAAATATCCTGGGAGAGAAATGGTGCTTGTTTGAATGAGTGAGTAAATGCAGCACCTGATCCTACCAGTGGAACAAGATTGTAAAAATCTTCACAATTTGAGTAGGAAAACAGACTTGCTGCTTTTCGGCTACCTGAGCATTCTGTGAAGCCTGCAAAATAACAGTAAAGTGAATCTCATTGCTGTATGAAATGCCCTTGTAAGTTAGAGCGGTTGAATGAGCAAATTATTTTATTATTGTTAATCATATCCCATGGTTGTAGACTTGGGTACTGACTGAAAACAGAACTTTTGCATTCACCTACTATAGCATCATTTCCGTTATTATTAATATCAACATTCAGATCAATTAATGATTGTTGGTAATTAAACAGTATTTGCTAGTAAAAATACTACCAACAAAATGCAGTTCAAATATAATGTGTGAATTGCAGAAGGACTTGTTCTATAGCAGTTGGTGCAAAAATAGAAGACATTTACTCATTCTGATGATGAATGTCAGTAAATGTGAAATAACAGCAGACTTGCTATAGAATTTGATTTATGTTTGTGGAATAAACCATCTATGTGAAATTTGATTTGTCCTGCAACCTTTTAAACCTGAGCATAGTTTAGATGGATGTTTGTTTGTTTTTTTAAAAGAAAAAATAACACTAAGTCAATACCAAAAGAGGAAGCCACCATTTATTTATTCATTAGATGGAATTTTCAGACTGATTCTAGATGGAATATTAACTTTTGGTTTTTGCTCATCTAAAATTAGTGGGACAGGGGATAGTATATTATGCTCAGTTTAAATTATGGCCTGTATTGTGAACTTAAGTAAACACTGTTGTGATGAGAATTTGCATGCACATAATTCTGGGAGCCTGGAAAGAGTTTGGATAGTATAGTGCTATCTCTTTGGAAGAAAAGAGTGATAGATTATCTATGGATGACTGTGTTGAATAAGATATGATAGGGATAAGCAAGTTGGTGTTCTGATAGTCTAATTACTTTTGTTTACTGCTAGGGCTTATAGATTTATGGAATTAAACTCATGCAACATGGGGTAACAGACTGCCCCCTCACCCATTTTTCATTGGTATGTTGATAGTCACTTAATTTTGTATACACTACCTGCAGAGTAATAAAAGGCTCACATAGTTTTTTTATTGTTTTAACTGGAGAATAGACTTTTCACATCCAAAAATGCTCACCTTCTCATGGAAGTTATATGCTCTTCTTGTGCTGATAGAAAGTAATTGGGGATAATTTTGAGCAGAAAAAACAATGACGGAGAAGATTTAAATAGCCCCATCCTGCTTCTAGTCATGTTGTGGCCTTCAGTTTTTGGATTTCATTAAAAATGAGACTACCTGCAGCTATTCCACAGACTTAGTTGGACCTACTTTTGAGGTTGATGAGCTCTTGGTGCTGTTGTTTTAATTTGTTACTGTTAGTGCAGTGTTCTGCAGTTCACGCACATGCAAGACTGACTTGAAGTCCAGGAATAATCATTGCCTGATGTCTAACTAGCAACATCTTAGTGTACACTTTTCATTTCAACCTGCTGGTAAGTAAGACAGCCAGAATGGCCTGGGAAAAAGACAGTACTTTGAATTGAAACCTGCAAATGAATGTTTATTTCTATAGATTAGCTGCATGCTTCTTTACAAGAAAAGACACCAGAAGAAAAGGAGTTAGAGATGCAGATTGTTCAGAGGCCTGGCAGAGTTCAGAATCTCTCTTCAAGAAGGGGCTAGAAGGTTTTGCCAGCTGCAACAGCAGCTGCTCTGGTCCTGAGGAAGCATGCAAAGCACTGCAGTTACTCAGTCTTGTTTTACACAAAGTCATAATTAAGATTCATCAGGTTTAATGGACTTATTTCTAAGTCAGTGTAGATCTCATGGTGAATACTGGGGGAAAAAGTCTGAGTAAACAGATAGTTTCTTTAAAGCCAATTTTTTACATTTAAAAACTGGAACATCTGAATTCATCTTCTGCTTATATAAGTATGCAGTTAGGGGCTGGTTCTAAAGAAGGAAAAGCTTTGCCTTCCTAACAGACATGCAGACAGTTGCCAGTTCCAGGTCAAGAAGGAAGCCCCCCACCTCTGTAAATCACAAAAGTTTATTTTTGAGTCAACGCCCCTTTGGCAAAAAAAAATAAATAGTTTTTTGTGCACAGTCCAATTCAAAAGTATGAAACAGACTCCAAAAATGGTGTAGATAAGTTGGAAATAGATTGGGTTTAAGAAATAAGAAGGTAAGGTTGTCATTTTCTTTTTATCCTTTACAGAAAGACAACCAGAACAGTTAGTGACTACATAATACAGACCAAAGAAGAGAAGAATTGATGGATGTGGTCTTATGTATTAATGGTTTCAAATGGACCAGAGTCAAAAGAAGGTTACTAAGCACTCCTAGCCCTGGGACACTTTCACGTTAAAAAAAAAAAAAGTGTAGGTTATATCTCACAAAATAGAGGATTCGAGGAGGTTACATTTAAAAAATTACACGCAAACTCACGATTACCCACCAAAGCTCATGCTTCAGTAAGTTAGGAAGACTGTACTGGGCATAGTTCACCCAAACCCTATGGAGTGAATAGTTTGCCCCACCCAGTTACCCTACCCCCTTCCTCACCATTGCTGATGGGAATTCTTTTGCCAATGGGAGGTACACCCACAGAAGAATCCTAAAAGTGGTTGACCATTAGTACAATTAAATTCCTAAACTAAAACAAGGC